CTAGAACAAGAGGAAAGGGAGAGGCAAAAAGCAGAGGAGGAGAGAAAGAGGCTTGAAGAGGAGGAGAAAAGAGCAGCTGAGGAGAAGGAGAGGCTAGAAGCAGAAGAAAGGGAGAGGCTCAAAGCAGAGGAACGAAGGAAAGCTGAGGAGGAGAGAAAGAGAGTTGAAGCAGAAGAGAAAAGGGCGGCAGAGGAGAAAAAGAGGCGGGAAGCTGAGGAGAGGGAAAGGATCAAGGCTGAGGAGAAAAAAGCAGCTGAAGAAAGAGAGAGGGCCAAGGAGAAGGAGAGGAAGGCGGCGGAAGCTAAGAGGGCAGCTGAGGAAAAGGCCAAGCAAGAAGAGGAGAAGTTAAAGGCAAAGCAGAAGGCAGAGGAGAAAAGGGTGGATGATAAGCTGGGGAAAGGGAAGAAGGGAGAAGAGAAGAAAATAGAAGAGAAGCAGGTAAAAGAGAAGAAAGTACAAGAGGAAAAAACCCCAGCCGCTTCCCTAAGAAAACAGGTACAGTAAACATTTTGCACCCAACTTTATTTTGCCTGTGTTTTGTACGAAATGTAATGCATTTTAAAAAAAAATGGACTGGAATTCACTCACAGTTTTGTCTCTGCACTTTTTTTGACTACTAATTCTTGCTGAAGTCTTATCCCTTTTGAACTGAAAAGCTTCTCGCTTCCACTTTCCTATCACACGGTCAGTGCATGATGCATTGCTCAGTCGCTCCGTTCTTGGCTCTCCGATTAAACTTAGTGCATGCTTTGAAACCTTCACAGTTTCCTTGCTTTCCCCTTCTGCGGCTGTGGAAGTGGCCAGGGGCAATGTTCAGACACATACGCAAAGGACAGAGGCACCGCATGGCCCACAGCCGAGCACTCGGCAAAGGTTTATGGCGGGACCACTGAACCAGCATCTATGATGGTTAGAGCACAGCCAGAGATCTGCTGGGATATATGTGAACACTGGCACGCCAAGGCAGAGGGAAAAGCGCAAAATGTGCAAGAGGAATGTGGAAGGTCACTGTGCCACCCGGAGGGAGTTGGGTGCACGGCAAGCAGCAGCACCGGAGAACAGGGGTATGTGAGCACGGCTTTGTTGAAGCACCAGAGATGTGAGAGGGGTTTGCTCTAGAACTGATGATTTCGTCTTGCAAAAATATTGTAAAAGGGGGAAGAGGCTAAAAAGGAAAAGCTACAAGAAGAGAAACTCCGGCCGGCCTTCAAAAAAGAGGAGGTAACTGTTAACATCGGGGAAGGGCGGGTGTGTAGAGGTCAGAAAGAAAATGCATGCCATTTTTGAGCTTCTTTCCCCACCGAGCATCTTCTGAGGAATCGCTCAGCAGTGTAACTTCAAGGATAGGAGACACCCAATTTGGGAAGATCTCTTGCCATTTGACAGGATCTAATCATCATCCGAAGACACGGCCTGAGCAGAACCTTTTTGAAACTAACTTCTCGTGCTAGGTGGTTTTATATCTTATTATGAGTGAATTATTTCCTGAACTTAGATCTCGGGAATGTTTGATGAAACAATGAGATACTGTTTCACCGTATAGCCACCCACAGTAAAGCACAGCACAGGTTGTGAGAATTGGCCGCAAATGGGACTCTCTAATAGGTTGAGCGAGCATTTGGTGTTGGATTTCTGTTCCAGTGCCGAGTGAGCTTTCTTTCCTTAATTTCTTCCTCCACTACTCCGTGCCCTTTCTTCCAGAGACTGACGATTTCTTCTGACTACGGACATTCCTGACATCTTTAGCCCCCTTAATCTGAACCTAACTACCAATTTTCCATTTCAATAGTACAAAGTGAGCAGAGTTCACGTTCTTCTTTCTCATTCGAGCAAGGTATTTTTTTTATAAAAACAAAACACGATGCATTGCATTTCTACTGCAAACACAGGAACTGGTGCCGTAGTGTTTTACTGTATGGTAAGTAAAGAGCGTTTCCTGACCAAGGTGGCCCAGGCTAGCTTAGTCCTGTCAGCTCTCAGAAGCTAAGCAGGACTGGCCCCGGTTGGTACTTGCATGGGAGACCACCAACGAAGTCCGGGGTTGCTACGCAGAAGCAGGCAGTGGCAAACCACACCACTTCTGCTCATCTCTTGCCTCGAAGACCCTCTGGTGTCTCCATCAGTGGGCTGCAACTTGATGGCATTTTCCACCTCCCAGTAAGAAGTTCCCTTGCTTGAAAGCCAGTCGAATCCGACTCTAGGGTTGCAGTGCTCATCTCCGTTTCAAAGCCGAAGAGCCAGTGCTGCCCGAAGACGTTTCCGTGGTCATGTGGCCGGCATGACTAAACAACAAGGCGCACGGAACGCTGGTCCCTTCCCACCGAAGTGGTACCTATTTATCTACTTGCAATTTCTAGCTTTCGAACTGCTAGGTTGGCAGGAGCTGGAACTAGAGACGGGAGCTCACTCCGTCATGCGGCACCCGGGTCTCGAACTGCTGAACTACCGACCTTCCATAGCCTGCAGTTCAGCGTCTTAACCACTTGAGCCGCTGCAGCTCGAAGCATGGGTCAAAATCATCCTCTTGGGGTTTCAAACCTGGGTCCTAGTTCACATGTTGCTGTACAGGCACCAAGATGGTAGTTGAGTCTGTGCACTCATGTTTATCCCCTCTCTATGCACATTACTCTTATTATAAGGACAGGGAGAGTGCAGAGAACAGAAGAGGGTGCCCGCCAATATGGTAACTGTCGCTGTCCTCAACTACCAAAAGACTGGCGAGACGTCTCTGCCTTACAGGCCCTGCGGAATTGCATGAGATCCTGCAGGGCCCTGATGGAATTCGTTCCACCAGGTTGGGGGAGGACAGCCAGATATCTTTGGGGCTGGGGACCACCACCAGCATTGATTTCAGCGTGCATAATGTCCTCTGTAGAGGACCATAGTCCCTGTGCTGTTCAGGTTCATCAGGAATGGGGTGAGATATTTTGACAAAAACTGGAAAAAAATTGGGGGTGATGCAGGAAGGGATTGTGCTATGGGCAAACACAAGCCACAGATGCCACTGAATTCCAGAAACACCTGAAATCCGGCAACAGGATTTTGGTGTTTGCATGTTGCAGCAATACCCATGCTTGTGGTTTGAAAGGTGCCATTCCGGCGTCCTTCGTTTTTGAAGAACCTCCTGCACCCTTCCCCCCCCCCTCTTAGAACCTCAGTTTCCTTCCTTCTTGGCTTTTTAAGGCTATTACTGTTCCATCGATTTATTGCTATAGCAGAAGAAACAGCTATCCCATGCACAATGCAGAAGACAGTAGAATATTTAATTTTCCTGAGTCTGCCATGAGTATCCAGGTAAAATGTTAAATGTCACAGTGATCGTGATAATGTAACATCACTCTTTGAGCTTATATTTCAGAACAGTTCTTGAAATATTTAATCATTCATTCATTCCTAACTTTTCTCCCCAGTGGGGACCCAAAGTGGCTTACGTCATTCTCTTCTCCTCCATTTTATCCTCACAACAACCCTGTGAGGTAGGTTAGGCTGAGAATGTGTGCCTGGCCCAGCAAGCTTCCATGGCACGAGTGGAGATTCGAACCCAGCTCTCCCGGACACTAAACACTCTTAACCACTGCATCACACTGATAAATGGTTAAAGGCCTAAGCATTCTCCTGCTATAACCCAAGTGATCCTGTAACCATTTTAAAAAATGCACTGAAAACCAGTAGGGTTCCCTCCAGCCCCAGCAGCGATGCTTGCCATGTCTTAAAGCTTTTGCTTTTCAAACGTTCTGCTGTTTAAATTATTCCTCCTCCAACGCTGCAGCTCGCATCTCTCAGATTAAAAGAAAAAAAATTTTGTCTCCCAGAAGTGTGATTCCCTCCCCATCACTTCTGTGGGACCAGGCTGACTAGTCTGACTGCCACACCAAGGGGGAAATCTAGGGCGTGGGGGTTTTTTTATTGTCCAGGGTGTCCATGTGACAGCCCTGTGTGTTCCCTCTAAGCTGAGTTAGTGTGAGCTAGCTCACAGTTTTTAAGCTTGCTCGCATCTCTCAGATTAAAACAAAAACATTTTTTGTCTCCCAGAAGTGTGATTCCCTCCCCATCACTTCTGTGGGACCAGGCTACCTCGCTGCTGACTCAGTGGCAGAACTAGTATGACTGCCACACCAAGGGGGAAATCTAGGGCGTGGGTTTTTTTAATTGTCCAGGGTGTCCATGTGACAGCCCTGTGTGTTCCCTCTAAGCTGAGTTAGTGTGAGCTAGCTCACAGTTTTTAAGCTTGCGGCTCACACATTTTTGTCTGAGCTCAGGGAGGACGGCTCCAGAGCAACCTAATTTAATGCAGCAGCCAAATCGCTCGCTCACAACTTTAATTCAAGTAGCTCACACAGTAGAATTTCTGCTCACAAGGTTCCACAGCTTGGAGGGAGCATCGCCTGTGAGGTCGGTGGGCTCAGAGAAAACGGACCTTGCCTGAGGCCACCTGCTGAGCTTCCTGGCTCAGGAAGGGCTTTTAACCTGGGCCTCCCACCTGCTAGCCCAAAACCTGACCGCCCTAAGTGGGCTGCTGCTCCCCCACCACCACCCAGGAGTCAGTTCTAGGGAAGCCAGAGGAGGCCCCTTA